CCACGTTGAAGTTTATGCAATTCAAAGTGGACTATGAGAGTTCGTTTAATCTTGGCAAATCATTGAATACTGCACAGATATTGGCGTCACTATGAGCGCGATATTCGATTTGCCGATTTTATTGAAAGTCAGTCATCTTACCTGGAAACGATCCCAAGTCTTTGAACCTTCACCACAAGGTGTTTTACGGGTTGTAATACGTAAAGTTTTAGTTGGCATGCGTACTGGGCCCTAAAATGAATAAATCGCATAATTAATAATTAAATTTACTTTTAATCAGGTTTACTTTAGCAGTTCGAAAATGTATTTTGAATTTTTAAATTTTTAACTTAAAACATATAAGAAAAAAATAATGTCCAATTCAAAACAAATTTTTTATAGCATTTATTTGAGACTAGACTGAGCCCTAAATACAAGCAAAGCCTCCAGGTAAATGCTATACTAATATATATAATAATAGTTCACACAAAAGCAAGTTTTTTTGGTGTTACTTTTATATTTGAGGCTTACCTTAACGCGCAAGTTCTGGTTTTTGGCGCCATTGATTAAATCACGGCACACATTTTCCAAAGAACGTACATTCCTGGAAGTTAAAGTGATACGGATGCGATGTACTGATGCAGCATCTGGACCTTGTGGCTTCTCGATATCCTTATTAGTACCAGCCTGTAAAAATAAATTAGGTTAGGTTTATTAACACGTGTAAATAAATGCAGGAACTTGTTAATGATCAACTTAATCAAGAACACTAATTTAAAATGAATTAGAATAACTATGTTTACGTAAAACATACCATATTTATGTAAAATCTTTGGTCGAGTTAATCAAATCTTTTTATTTTGAGCAGCGCTGAACCAAAAGTTCTACTGGTTAAAAATGAAATGACCGAGGAAAAGAATAGTAAAGTAGCAAGAAAAATAAAATACCCATTAAGGTGATAATACTGGGATATTAAAGTATACAAAATGCTTTAATATGAATTTATGTTGGATTAGTGATGCCACATTCCAAAAATTTTGCGGATTTCAATATATGTGCAAATCAATTTTTTTGCATAATCTGAAGTTTTAGTACATATTAACGCAAATGTATAAAAGCATTTAAAGCAACAACAATGCTTTTAAAATCTTCAGAGTTAGGTTTTACTCGCAAAAGTTTTACGTCTTAAGTTTTAGTGCAGCCAAATTTATAAATTAGTTTATTGTGAATGTTTACATATGAGCATTTTATTTACTAATAAATTCAAACACAAAAAAATAAACTGAAATATATTAGATAAAAATGCTAACCATTGTTCTTTTAATATTCATTTTGTTTTCTTTTATTTAAATGAATTAATTTTTAAAGTTTACAATTTTTATATATCATATTACACACATCACAACAAAAAGCATATATCAAAAATAAGCATTCAATATATTTTAAAAATAGGCCTTTTCAATGACTTGTAAGTACGGCAAAAAATAGTAATAGCAAAACAACAACACTATTTTCTCTATCTCGTCCAGTATAGGTATACTGGCCAAGCACTTCGGCCAGTAAAAAAAAAAATGTTACCAACGTAAAAAGCGAACTATTGTGAATCCTCATTGGAAACTCCAACGAATATTGCAATCATATGTCAAAAATTATATATAATTAAAATATTCAAACAAAATTCAAAAGTTTCATAAATTTGAAAATTGAAAAAGAAGGAAAATTTCAGTGTTTTATTTTGAAATTTGCAACATTTTTACCATTCCTTTTAATTTTGAATTCATTTTCAATTTATGTTAATTACTTATATTTATACAAAATGTAATTTGCTTGCATTATGCAATTTTTGCTATTTGTTAAAACATAACACTTGACAGATTGCAACAGTGATGCCAATCAGTCATCGAGCCACACAAAAAGGCCTAATGATTCCAATTTATTTCAACCAGACTTAAAGCTGTTTTTTTACAACTTTGAAAAAAAATTACAGCTACATTTCAAAAATTAAGTCAATTTGTTTCAACCAGACTTAATGCTGTTTTATTACAACTCAGAAAGAAAAACTTACGGCTGATATTGCTGAAAGCGTAATAGATGTTTGTTAAAAGAAAAAGTCGTATTTGTATATAACATGATTATCTTTAAGTTATATATTGAAAATGTTTAACTGTATATAAATCACTTCATTAAATTTAAGTCGTGGTAAATATCAAAGAAACATCTTTACTTAATTTTGGCCAGCAGTCAGTTTAAAACTATATATATAAGTTCATTCATATATCTTAAATTAAACAAAAGCAAAGTACTAATTGATATTAAGAATACAGTGTTGGAGTCAGTGTTTGTTAATGAAAAAATATAAAATGTATGCTACTATATAAAAATCTCTAAGATATTTTTGTCCAAAATTACAGAGGTTTTAGTTTATAAATATCTATTGTTATTTCTGCAATTTAAAACAAACAAGTATTTTAAACATCTGTAAATATTCTTTATACAAACATTTCGTATCGACCCAATAATCAAATTTTATATTATCAAGTTTAAATTGTGGTAAATATACTACCATAGAGCAATAAATCAAAAATGTTGATTAAATTTATACTATATCATAAAGTATGTAAAATATGAAAGCATGTAGTATTGATTATTTATAAATTATTGAATTACATAGTTTTATTAAATTAATGTCGCTTATTTTATATTAAACCATTCTTAAAGTTGAACAAAACAGCAACACTAACAATATATAGGGAATTTTAAAATGGCGATAACTAACGGAGATGTCAATACAATAACAACTCTACAATCCGTGAATCGCAATTTGCTGCTACTAAAATTGAAAATAGAAAAAAATTAAAAACATATCTCGTAAATTGTGCTTGGAAATTGTTAATATTTATCAAACAAAATATAGAACTTATAAACAATCTTCGTATATATTTATTAAAAGTTAAAAAGTATAATTTAGCATATATAAAGAATATCCCGTTGTACCGGCAGTCGGTAAATTTCGTGTAAAAAAATACAAACAGTATTGCTCGAGCATTGTGTTGGTTATACAGCATAAATTGGTATTAAAATTTGTGAGCGCTTAAAATATATTTCTATAGTCAATTCGAAAGTAGTTTAAAATACTCGTGGAACAATATTATCATAAACAATTAATTTTACTGGTTACTGCAGTTGTTAATGATATTGCGAAATAATTTGCTAATATAATTCCTCTTTTTTTTCGGCCACTACGTACAATTTTACACAAAACACAGAAACCCTGATTGTCAAATCTTCCATTTTGATATTTACGCTATTCATTTTTAGATCAAACACCACGAACTGTAAAGTTAAGCGCACTTTAAAAAACTTCTTTTATATATAACTGTTTAAACTGTGATTGCGGTAAATCTTCAAGGTTGAAGTAAAGAATTTTAGATTTAAAAAAACTTAAAACAGTTCGCAACAATTTTAAAACAAAGTATGACCAAAGATCATCAAATGGTTGCGACAGGAGACGACATGAGATGGAAATCAAAATTGAAGATTCCTCCAAAAGACACACGCTTTAAAACGAGTGATGTCACCGACACTCGGGGAAACGAATTTGAAGAATTTTGCTTAAAAAGAGAACTGCTGATGGGCATTTTTGAGAAAGGCTGGGAACGTCCATCACCGATTCAAGAAGCAGCGATTCCTATAGCGCTAAGCGGTAAGGATGTATTAGCTCGAGCGAAAAATGGAACGGGCAAGACTGGTGCATATTGCATCCCCGTTCTAGAACAAATAGACCCTACAAAAGATTATATACAAGCATTAGTAATGGTGCCAACAAGAGAACTTGCCTTACAAACTTCACAGATCTGCATAGAACTCGCAAAACATTTGGACATAAGAGTAATGGTGACAACTGGTGGTACAATATTGAAGGATGACATCTTACGTATATACCAAAAAGTACAATTGATCATTGCAACGCCTGGCCGCATACTGGATTTGATGGATAAAAAAGTGGCCAATATGTCGCATTGTAAAGTGCTTGTTTTAGATGAAGCCGACAAACTTTTATCACAGGATTTCCAAGGCATGCTGGATCATGTTATTTTAAAATTGCCGAAGAATCCGCAAATTCTACTATTTTCCGCAACATTTCCTTTGACTGTTAAAAATTTTATGGAAAAACATTTGCGCGAACCTTACGAAATAAATTTAATGGAAGAGCTGACTCTTAAAGGCGTAACGCAATACTATGCTTTTGTGCAAGAACGCCAGAAAGTACATTGCCTTAATACATTATTTTCAAAATTACAAATAAATCAATCGATAATATTCTGTAACTCGACGCAACGCGTGGAACTGCTTGCTAAAAAAATAACGGAACTCGGATACTGTTGTTATTATATACATGCTAAAATGGCGCAAGCTCACAGGAATCGAGTATTTCATGATTTTCGACAGGGTTTATGCAGAAATCTTGTGTGTTCGGACTTATTTACGCGAGGTATTGATGTACAAGCCGTTAATGTTGTTATCAATTTTGATTTTCCACGTATGGCTGAAACGTATTTACATCGTATAGGTCGTTCAGGAAGATTCGGCCATTTGGGTATTGCCATCAATTTGATAACCTACGACGACAGGTTCGATCTGCATAGAATTGAGAAAGAACTGGGCACCGAAATTAAACCTATACCGAAAATTATTGATCCAGCATTATACGTAGCTAACATTGGCCTTAACTCTACGGAACCCGGTACCAACAATGAACTTAATAACTCAGCGAACGAGGAGGGCAATGTTAGCAAGTAAAAAATGGCTTACTAATAAAAAGTATTCGCTATTAAGCAAACTAAAATTTTTCAAAAAAATTTCTGCAATTGAATCAATTTCTATGAATTTTGGAACTTTCAAATGAAATAATAGATTGTATATTTAGACTTTACTAAAATAACGTGTTTTTATGTTTTAAACTTAATGAATAACATCCAAAAAATTTCAAAAATATACATACAGAACAACATTGTACTCTCGATTGAACTTTTAATAAAACCTGAAAGAAAACACGTAAAATATATTTTTCATTTAATAGAATAAATTTAGGAATTTTTCTTTTTAAATTTTTCATTTGTAAATTTTTGCTTAATTTTATTTTAATTATGTATATTTTTGCTCTCTTTTCTTGTTTTTTTATTTGTATCGGTTTTTGTGCGTTCTACTTGAGCCTGCCATTTTTTCAAAAACAACAACAAAACATGAATTGTTCAAGGTTATTATTTTTGGCGGTTCTATATGCATTCGTGTGTTTGTGCATTTAGTGTTTGCCTTCCTTTTTCAAGTTTCTGTAACTGTAAGTGAAGTGTAATTTGTTGTTGTTGTTTTTAGGTGCAGTGTTTCAAATAACAGGTTGATTCGCTTTTTGAAATGTGTAATAAAAATCAGTTTATAAATGTACTAATATATAGCTATGCTGTTTTAGTTGGATATTTTTATAGTTAATAAATAACTTCAAAAATTTTGAAATTCAGTATTGATGATGAAATGTGTGTAGGTAAATTTGAATTTTGAGATATAAAAAAAACGTTTTTAATAGTTTAAAAAATTTTCCATTAAAGTTTATTGACCCGAAAATTAAAAACAAAGTGTAAAATAGAATATAAAATAATATCCTCCGTTATTTAAAAGTTTATTACACATGAATTGTTTTAGTAAAAGAACACAATTGAGCTATAAAAGTGGAAAGAAATCCGTGCAAACAAAAACAACTTTCATTTACTTATAACCTATTTTTTTTTACAGCAAAATACATATTTAAAACACATATTTTTTATAAATATTCTTAATAAGAATTGTTGTAATAAATGTTTTTAAGCATTGCGTCAACACTGAAAACGTGTGTAAAGTGAACTTCGCTGTTAAAACCACTCACGTGAATTG